TCGATACCAAAGGTTTGAAATTTTACTCTTTAGTCTGGATTTATCTTTGCATGCCTCTATGAAGAATTTACTGTACAGAGCAGAGAGAGAGAAAGAGCTCTATTACTTTAGACTTCTTTTGAGAGGCCTCTCTCTGAATTTCCTTTGTAAGTTTTACTGTTGAAATCAGTCAATTTTTTTAGTTTATGCAGTATTTTTGGGGAGAAAAAGTATTTTATAGTCAAAGTTGATAAAAAAAAATATGAATCTACTGTAAGAATCAGAACCTTCTTTTTACAAACCCAGAAAATATCCACAGATTTCAAAATTGGTACAGCGAGGAAAAAGGAGAATTTACATATTCAATGTCCTAAAAACAACATTATGTGCGATTTGAGGCATAGAGACGGAACAAAAATGTCAGAGAACAAGCAAAATGTTCCGCACATCCCAGCGGCTCTTAACATTTTATAGAAAGTAAAATGAACTGGAAACAATGTCAGGAGGATTTATAATGAATAAATAATGTCGGTTTCCTGGAATAAAGTGGAAATCATTAATCAAGACGAACATGTGCGGCCAACTAGATTCAATTAACATATTCTTATATAGTGCTTATTGTTATTTAATCTAAAACAGATTCCTTATTTTCAAACATCAGCTTATGTCTCCACTGGAAACCACTTGTTTCCCTTTTTCATCTTACAGAGGAAAGTAGTTTTCCAGAAGTTTTCACCTACAGGAAATTGCTCAGTGACTGACAGACTGACTGACATCCAGCTTTAAAACCTGTTAACTGCAGAACCTATATGGCTCCCAAAACTATAAACACAATCACACAATATGGCAAAGCAATCAGTGTTGCAATTCTGATTTCATTGTTACATTAAAGTCCAAAATGACCTTTTAGCATCTTATAGAAATGGTTGTTGTGACGTGCTCTTACTCCATCATTTTGACAGATAAAAATAGTGTACCCAAGTGCCTTTGAGAGGAAATCTTTTACTAGCAACCTGAAATTCCATCTAATACCCCGACATCATACAGAAAGGTTTCTCAGAGCAAACTTCAGACATCAACAAAGCTCCAAACACCCCCGCAGTATTCTAGACAGGAAGCATGGAGAGTGAATCAAGTGAGCTACATCTGTTTGCACAATTACACCCCTCAGTTTAAGTTCCTCTGAGAGAAAAAAATGATCTCACTTTCTCAGAAGTTTGGTCTCTTATCAGGATTTAGTTTGGTTAAAAAAAAACTAGAATCATGGTTTTAACATCAAGACGTGCTGGGAATAGCGGAACTGTGGAAGTCTGTGTCTCTCTGGTTTCCACTGAGAAGGTTTTTCATTTTAGCTTACACCCGCTCCTGGATTTCCCTTTTCTCCTTTCACACCAGAATCACCCTGAAACGCAACAAGAACAAAGAAGATTCTCTCAGTTCTGGAATGACATTGACCATTAGATCTCTTAACCAATGATATCAAAGCACATTACTTACAACAACGCCCTTCGGTCCGGGTGAACCTGGAGTTCCAGCATCTCCTTGGATTCCCTGAAGAATATAAAATAAAAAAACAAATTATGTCTGCGATCTTATTTATGCACTGTGTTATTGCTGTTTGTTTGTTTACTGTTGGCCACCTAAAGTAGGCTAGGAGAGATGACTTCCTGTTGCATCTTACCACTTAAGACAGGGGTTTTCAAAGTTTTCCAGGCCAAGGACCCCTAAACTGATGGCGAGATGGAGCGGGAACCCCTTAATTATATATATTGCATGAAATTGTGTTCTATCAAGCTAGTCCTATAGTGACTCTATTACAAATGGAGTAATGTAACAAAAGTTTATTGAAGTATTTCTGGTTCAGATTCCTGGTTGATCGGACAGGTGTTGTGAATGAAACGGTGCTCAGCTTGAAAGAGCTGATGGGTGTTTCTGAATGTGTGCATTGATGACTGAAATACAGTGGCCCTGAAGTGCAAACTGCAACTACAAATCTAAAAGCGCAACTACATTAAGAAAAACAAAACTTCATAAATCAAAGTGCAACTACATTAAGGAAATCGCAACTACATAAAGCAAAGCACAACTACATTAAGGAAAACACAATTACATTTACCTACCGGAAAAGGTAGGTACCAGTGGGAAACATGAGACATCGCTGATTGGACGACGGGGCCGCTTGACCCTTGAACCAGAAGTCATTCTGCCTGCTGCGGCTTTTGAAAACATGGATATTGTCGGCGCCCCAAACATAGCTGCCGTTATCCAGGAATATTTTGAATCAGGACATACGTACGAGGTGATACTGGATATGCTCAAGACTAATCACGAAATTTCAGTTAGTTTGCGTACACTGAAGACACACTTAAAAGAAGCTGGACTGTTCAGACGACGCAACTTCCGGTTCAAGGGTCAAACGGCCTCATCGTCCAATCAGCGAAGTTTCATGTTTTCCACTGGTACCTACCTTTTCCGGTAGGTTAATGTACTGTAGTTGTGTTTTTCTTAATGTAGTTGCACTTTTAGATTTGTAGTTGCAGTTTGCACTTCAGGGCCACCGTACTGAAAGACATCTTCTACCACCATTTATCTGTTTACTGCAGTGGTTCTTCATGTTAATGTGTATTTAAAGACATTTCAATTAGTGTAAAAAAAATTGCAGGGGGGAATATAACAAAAAAAGTCTAATCAACCAAAACTCGCAACCCCCATGCAGTACCTCTGTGGACCTCCTGTTGAAGACCTCTGACTTAAGGTATTGGGAAACTCTTATATATGGCCCACTGTGTCCATGTACTCAATGTCATACTGGAACATTAAAAAGTATGAATTCAGAACTCTTCCAGAAATACAAATGCTAATAAATGTTGATAATAAACACTGAGTGAAGCTATTTTATTTCAAACAGAATAGGGATGTCAGAAACACAAATTGTCTGAAAAGTATAATTTTTATCTTACTTGTTGCCAATAGTAGGCTGATGTTACAAAACATCTTGAGGCCAACAGCCATTTTCTTCGACAGTAAAATTCTGGCCTTTCCTCAATATGTGTACTTGTGCGTTCTCATGTGCTCGTGAAACGTCAGCAGTCTAAGCCCTAGTACTGGTACAATTCACAAGAACAGCAGATCGAGAACGGACAAAGTCCCCAGATGTTGTTCTTGCCCCTCCCTCTTTACAAAGCATGCATCAGAGCAGACTTGTCCGTTCTTGAGATTGACGGCTGTCCCAGCATGCACTGCTGCAGCAGCAGCGTCCAGTTTTTTGAAGCGTATGGCGATCTGATTGTTTATGTTTTTTTTGTAAATGACTAAAGGGATACACACATGTTAAGGTAGTTTAAAGTATATTTTTCATACAAAGCTAAAGGGGTTTACGCAAATCTGATGTCTTGCACATGCGTTTTGACTATAGGTATGCTGGTCTGACGGGGTATGCTGATCTGAGAGAACACTGGCTCTACTCTGAGCCTCTCCTGGATGACTGAGTTCCTCACCCTGTCTCTAAGGGAGTGGCCAGCCAGCATGCGGACCACCATCACACACTAATGTTGGCAAGCCACAGCTGAACTGGGACTCACTGACAGAAGCGAGGCTGCCGTACACAGGTGTCACCAGTCCCTCTGACCACCATCTGTAGGCAATGCGGTTGAAGTGTCTTGCCCAGGGAAACAACAATGAAAGCCGAAGCCGTGGCTTAAACTGACAACCTTGCGGTTGCATGGCAACTCCTGCATCTGAGGCCTCTGTCATCCCACTGAGGGTAGGAGCGTAGACCACCCAGTAAACAGAGAGCTTTGATTTTACGCCCACCTCTCTCTTCATCACATCTGCATTATATTTGAAGCAGAACTGTTCTGTCTATCGATCTCCAGCTCCTTTCAACCTTTACTAATTAACGGCACCCCAAGATCTTTGAGATTGGGGT